GGGAGTGGGGGGGCATAAGGAAACCCCTTTTTTAAAAAAAAAAAAAAAACCAAAAAAAAAAAAAAAAAGCAACTCCTGGGGCTGGAGAGATGGCTCAGCAGTTAAGAGCACTGACTGCCCTTGCAGAGGACCCAGGTTCAATTCCCAGCACCCACATGGTGGCTAGCAACCATCCCCATAACTCCAGTTTCAAGGGAATCCGACACCTTCTTCTGACTTCTTTGGACAGTGCATGGCACGGGTGCACTTACATACATACATAAAGTACACTCACACACATAAATAATAGTAAATGAAATTTTTTTTTTCTTTAAATGCAGCTCTCTGGGGCTGAAGAGATGGCTTGGCAGTTAAGAGTACTGGCTGTTCTTTCAGAGGACCTGGGTTCGAATCCCAGCACCCACATGGTAGCTAACTACTATCTGTAATTCTAGTTCCAGGGGATCTGACAGCCTCTTCTGTCCTCACTGGGCACTGTACGACATGGGTGCACTTACACACATCTAGGCAGTACACATACAATAAAAATAAATAAATAAATAAATTTTTAATGCAGCTCTCACCTCAAAGAGGGTAAGAGATGGTTTATTCTGGAGCCAAATATGAGTGAACGTGGCCTGGGAATACAGATTCAGATTACCCCAAACTCCATGTTCCATTGTGGTAACAATCATGAAGTTTTGTGAGTTTTTTAGGGGAGGGATTGTTTTTTGTTTGGGGGGATTTTGTTTGTTTGTTTGTTTGAGACGGTTTCACTATGTATCCCCAGCTGACCTGGAACTCACTTTGTAGACTAGGCTGACCTTGATCTCACAGTGATCTTCTGCCTCTAAGTGCTAGGATTAAAGGCACATGCCACCACTAGTTTCATGAAGTTTCCACAGTACTTTAAAGTTTTCACAGTATTTTACAGAAACAGAACAAAGAAAGTCATAAAACAAGACACTTTTCAAATCCACTGGTGGGAACATCAGGTAGGTGGGTTACAGCAAATCAGGGAGACTCTGATACAGGCCTGTCTGACAACAGGTGTTATCTGACAACATTGTTGGCTTTTGGATTGGTGGAAGTTAGGAATCTGTACATTTCAAGGGATTTACCTAATACTTGCAGGATGTTAAGTCACACACAGAGGTGGTCAGTAAATAGCTATTTAAGGGGGCTACAACGGCCCAAGATAGTTGTCTCTAGATCTGCAACACTTCAACCTCTCCACAATCACTGAAGTTCTAATCAATCGTCCTTTCTAGAATGTTCAGTGTAGATGCCACTTTGAACTGTCACTTCTTCCTGGGAACTTTAGCTCATGTCATCCATATTTTAACATAAGTTCTCTTTCCCAAAAAGGTGCAATTGATGTTTTGTATAGCTCCTGTGGTTTGAGTGCCTTGTGGCTCACAGCCACCTCAGACTCACATGAACATTCCTGGCTCAGACACCACTACTTAAAAGCTCTGTGACCACAGGCAAATCTCTGTGTACTTCTTTTGTTGTGATGGTGATTGTGATTGGATCTTAAGTTCTTGTTTTGAGATAGTATCTCATCATGTTGCTTAGGTTACCCTGGAATTCATGATCCTCCTGCCCCAAACTCTAGAGTATTGGGATTACAAGCGTGTTTTTACCACCCCTGGCCTGACTTGTGGGGCTATGGCAAGAATTGAAGAGTTGGCAGATGAGAACGGTCATCTTCCCGGCCCATTGAAGGATGCAAAGGTGCATGAACCTTGATCTGCCTGCCACCGTAACACCCCTCTCTGCCCTAGGGCTTCCCAAGAGAAGCACAGACCCCACCTGAGTGGGGAGAAGGAGCAGAAGTCCAGGAGTCTGACCCAGAAGTGTGACACATCAGTGCAGATAGAGCCAGTACACCCGGATGTATTCTCCAGCTGCCAAGAGGTTAGTGTCAGTGGCCCCAGCTCCAGGCAGGGCCTGCCACCCAGCTCCAGGGGTGGAGGCTTCCTTTCCATATTGAAGTTGAGCCATTCTAAATTCTAAGAGGATTGCTTGTTCGTGTTGAATTACACACTAGAATAGAACCCTATTCCCACCAGTCGCTGTCTCCAGGGTTACACTGTCACTAGTGGAAACGGCACCCCAGCTCTCCTGGTGGAGGCCACTGGGACGTCATACAATCAATGAATGGGTAGATAGGCAGTGGCTGGCAGTCGCCTCGGATTCAGTCTATCTGGGTTGGAATCCCAACTCCTCCACTTCAAAAGTCTGTGACCTTGGAAAATCACTGTGGTCCAGTTCTGCCCTCTGACACTGGCAGTCCCCCACTTCATGGGGTGGTTGGAAAGTAAATTTTGTTTATGCCTAAACACAAACAAACACAAACACATGTATACCTTTATCAGGTTTTGGTTTTTTTTTTTTTTTTTGGCTAATGGTAACAACCCATAATATTCCTCAGCTTATTTATTCTCATCCAACATGATTTACTTATGTTTGGTGTGTATGGTATGTGTATGTGTACACAAATGTGTATGGAGGCCTAAGCAGGACATGGGGTATCTTACTCTAACATGCTTTGCTTCATCTCCTATGAGACAGGGTCTCTCCCTGAACCTGGAGCTCCCCATTTATTTTTCTGGCTAGGCTAGCTGGCCAACAAGTCACAACAATCCTCCTGTTTCGGCACCCTCCCCATCCCCCCTCCCCACCAGCTCTGGGGTTATAGATGCACTCTGGGGCCACACTCAGCTTTCACACAGGTGCTGGGGATCTGAACTCAGGCCCTAATGCTTGCACCCCAAGCGCTCTTAACCCACTGAGCCATCTCCCCAGCCCACATAACACTGTTCAGTGGCATCTTTTCAACTAAGTGTGTAGAAGTCCACTTCACTCTTTGAAATGGCTGCATGGAGTCCACTGTGTCCCTTTTATCCACACAGTCCCCAGCTGATAGCTATTTAGAGCCCGTGTGCTGTCCCATGATGCTGTAGTTAATACACTTGCATGTATGTAGAACCCATTTTTGTCTGTGAAATTGTCCAGGGTCCAGGGTCTTCCTAAACTGGGTAGCACAGAACCAAATAGCCATGCAGTTGACGTGATATCCCATGGTGATAAATTAGTAAGGTCTCTGTGTACTTTCCCAGAATTCCCAGCTACTCAAAGAGCATGTCTGAGAACATGATGCTCACATTCTGTACCACAGGTGGTGGGATGATATTTCTCATCATTCTTAGCAGGTTGATTGTGGTTCCTCAAGGTCTTGGTTTCCTAAAGCCTGGGACATCCTTCCCCCATTGCTTTGGGAAACCAGAGAACAGGGCATCTGGGAAAGAGACAGGGCCAAATGTATCACTGAAGTCACTGTCCCTGCCAGACAATAGCAAGCCAGGGCCATGGGCAGCCAGATGAAAAAACTAGAGGTCCAGCCAGCCATCCCTGGCACTGAGTGCAATCTAGAGCACCGCAAGAGAAGTGGATCCCGTTGCTCGGGGCAACCAGGGAGGAGGGGTGCAATGGTCCAGGCGACTGGAAGCTTTGCTGGGCAGGAAATGTAAGTCACTCCTGTTGGACTCCTGGGCCCTCAAAGCAGGACCTGACCCACAGCCATTCACTCCTCCAGCAACTATTGAGCACCTGCTGTATGCCAGGCCCTGTGCCAGAGACAGGAAAAGTTGTACAGGTTCCCTGCCCATACCAAACTCCCTTGTACGCTCCATGTGTTGGTTGGAAAGGTTTGTTGAGCCCTGACTTTTAGCTTCTGTCACAAGGTTAAGGAGGATGGGGGAGGGAGGCTGCAAGATAAAAGGCAAAAATGTTTGACCCTTCTTAGAACAGTGGTCCTTGCCCAAGCTACTTCCTGTTGTATAAGCCAGAGAGGGTCAGAGGGCTCAAGAGTTGTATGAGAAAGAATCTCTGTCCTAAGTAAAAAATGTTCCCAGAGGAATGTGAGGAAAGGGTCACGTGATACTTCGTCTGCCAGCCCAGTGAAGACTGGGGGAGTCTTGCCTTGGCTGCTGTGTCTGCCCCTCGGTCCCAATGCAGCATCTCCTGCCCACTTCTACTCCTTCCAGAACAGTCACCCTCCAACAGATGAACAAGTTCTATATGGAGTCAAGCCTCGAGGTGGACCTGCTGGAAGGCAGGAAGCAGGCTAGAACTGGGGTCTGAGGACAGGCAAGTTCCCCTTGCTCAGCTGCCAGCCCTGGTCTGCAGGAAGTAACCACAGGCTCCTCACACCTCCTGCTTCTGCCTGCACTCCATTCAGACTTCCTCCATCCAGATTTCATATTAACTGAGCATTGTGTTCAGCCCTGAGAGGACCAGAGTCTCCACAGGAGAGGGCTTTGCCATCATGGAGCCCGTGTGGCAGGGAGGGAGGAGACAGAGAGAAAAAAGGTCAACTTAAGAATAAAATGTCAGGCCGGGTGGGCGTGGTGGCACACTCCTTTAATACCAGCACTTGGGAGGCAGGTGTATCTTTGTGAATTTGAGATCAGCCTGGTCTACATTATGAGTTCCAGGACAGCTGGGGCTACAGGGAGGCCCTGTCTCAAAAAGACAAAAAAAAAAAGAATAAGATGTCCCAGAGAGTAAGAGGAAGTCAGGTGGCCTGAGGAGCTGTGTAGCTGAGGGATTTAGGGAAGGGGCTCCTTCAGTTCCAGAAGAGAGGCCTGTTCAGGAGACTGGGAGCAGAGGGAGAAGGAAGTGAAGGAGTAAGGGGCGGGGACATTGATGGGAAAAGGGCATTCCCAAGGAGTCCTCAGACAGCGCTGCTGAATCCTTTGAAGGAGGCTCTGGGTCTTGAACCCCCTCCCGGGGGTGGGGGGGGCAGTATGACTAGCATAGGGCCTGGGACCAGCATCATTATAGGCCTCAAAGAAGCACTTGAGTCAACAAAGGAAAAAGAACAAGGGAACTCTCGTTTTCGCTCTCCTCTGCTGTCTTTTAGAGGGTATCGCTCGCTCTCTGAAGTTAGAGTATCTAAGGCCGATCTGTTCATCATCTGTCTGCTACAGAAAGATCAGTCCTGGGTAGCAGCAGTGCTTGGCTGCCTGGTGCTGGAGTGATATCTGGCATGGAAGAGAGAGAGAGAGAGAGAGAGAAGCTATACAGATAGATCATTAGTATGCTTATATACCTGGAAATTTGAAATAGAGACAGGGCTAGGCATGTAGCTCAGTTGGTACAGTGTTTGCTGCACACGTACAAAGCCCTAACTCAATCCCCAGCACCACATAAACCATGCCTATAACCCAGCACTCAAGAAGATCAGAAGTTCAAAGGTACCCTTGGCCATGTAGAAAATTTGATGCCAGCCTGGGATACATGAGACCCAATCTCAGAAAGAAAAACATTTCTAAGAAAAGAAATGGAGACAGAGATCTCCAGCTAGCTCCACACATTTTAATATTTTCTGTTCGCACTCTGTGTGTCGTCCTTGGTATCTTCCCGTGTCTATATCTATAATCTAAAATGAACCAAAGTTGCTGTTATAAAAATAGCTACAAAAGAACCAGATTGTGGGTTTCTTCCCTTTCTTGCCAATTTGGCGGAGGTCTTCCCCTAGCAACAACTGAAAGCCGCTCCCAGCACCCCAACCTGTGTCCCCGATTAATTATCTGCCTAACATTTGTCATGGCCCACCATATCTTTCCCTATTTATCTTCCCCACTGTCCGTCTCCCCAGATTGAGGTACAAAATCCGTAACAGCAAAGGTATTGCCAGTGCTAGCCACTGATGGAGCCCCAGAGCCTAGAGCAAACTTGGCACTCAGAGGTGTGAAATGAATGAACGAACAAACAAATGGATGGATGAATGAATGAATTAATGAATGACTTAGTGGAATCTCTAAGTTATATGCAAATGTATATGGAAATTTTTCTTTTTTTGAGACAGGATCTTATATATTGAAGGCTAGTCTCCAACTCACTATGTAGCCAAGGATGACCTTGAGCTTCTGATCCTGCTGCTCCTCCCCTCTTTCTCTCCCACCCCACCCCCTTGTGCTGGGATCACAGGCATGTGTCATTCACCCAGTTTATGCAGTGCTGGGATGGAACCCAGGGCTCTGTGCATTCGAGGCAAGCGTCCAACCTCACCAAACTGCATCTCTTGCTTTTTCTAAAAGAATGAATCCTGAATTCTTCTGAATTAATCTTAAAAGGGAGCACGGCCTTTAAAGGAAAAGCCTTCTTTATCTGTGCCCTGAGAAAACTCAAACCCCAAACTGTCCCCAACAGGGCCCACATGTGTGGCCAGCAGCTCTCATGCTACAGTAGAGGCAGGTATGGAAATTTCCATTGTTACAGAAAGTTTTGTGGAGCATGCCTGTCTAGGGGTCCTGGAGTCTCAGAGGAAGGTGTCTGCAGAGTAACCACGGGCCAGGCTGTGATACCCCCGGCAGACAGGAGAAAGCCATCCTTACCGCCAACATAAAAGAAAGCTGATGTGGTCACATCTAAAATGCCCTGCTGGGCCTGGGAGTGCAGCTCAGGCGGACAGCAAGTGCTTAGCATGCACAGGACTCTGGGTTCCATCCTCAGTCCCACAGAAGAAAACAAAAAAGAAAAGAAAATGTGAATAAAAATGTCCCCCTAGAAGTACAACTCAAGAAAATGGAAGAGAGGGCTCTGCGGTTAAGAACACATAGTGCTCTTGCAGAGGATCCACGTTTAATTCCCAGTACCCATGTTGGGCAACTTACAACTACCGCTAGAGTCAGCTCCAGAGGATCTGGCACCCTCTGCTGGCCTCCTTAGGCACTGCACTCATATGCAAGCGGTGTGTGTGTATGGGAGAGAGAGAGAGAGAGAGAGAGAGAGAGAGAGAGAGAGAGAGAGAGAGAAATCTTAAAAAAGAAGAACTTGCTGTTACCATTCAGTGCAAGATCAGAATTTTAACAATGGAACCCATGCATGGGAGACTATTAGAAGGGAGAGAAAAAACATGGAGAAGGGCTAGAGGGATCTTTTATTTATAGTGCTGCTAAGTAGGAAGGAAAGCTGGAAATCCTCCTAGATGAGATTTCATATTTGTGATGAAACATGTAAATCCCTTCTCTGCTGAAACTCTTGTGGTATTTTCCAGAAGTGCTAAATGACAGGGTTTCTGCTGAACAGGAATTGTTCACGTTCCTGAGACTCTAAGGGAAATGTCTGGATCCTTACGGAGCTGCTGTCTGTGCCACTCTGCCCCCAGGAGCAGTCCTTCAGCGATCTGGGGGCCAAGTGCAAAGGGTCCCGACACGAGGAGATTATTCAGCGCCAGAAAAAGGCCTTGTCGGAACTCCGTGTACGAATCAAAGAACTGGAGAAGGCCAACTCTTCTAGTAAGTTCTCTCCCTAGTCCCAGCCAGGGGCCCCAGAGTCTGGGGTGCACTTTGGGGACTCCCACCTTTTGTCTCCATCATCTCATAATTGGAAGAACATGATAACACAAGAAAAGATGGGCCAGGCCCCCACCTCAGAGTCAAGTGCCGACCCCAATGTTAAATAAATAGGACATCGTGAAAAACTCAATATTGTCCCTCTTCTTATTTCACTATGACCCATGGGAACTTAGTCATGGCTTAACACTATCTAATGATCAGCACTGGGGTGCCTCTTAGAGTACCCCATTCAGAGGGGCTGGGGCTGTCTCAAGATCAGAAGTTGATTGTTGTGCAGGGCACTGAATACTGGATGCCCTGGTTCAAATCCCATCTTTGTCCCTGTGGCATTGACAATGACACCCAATGTGGACAAAGCTGCACTCTCTCTGTGTGGCCTTGGATAAATCATATAATCTTCCCAGGCCTTGGTCTCTCATCTGCCAGGGAGGTCAAGATGATTAGAACAGTCCTGTGGTAAGTGTTCCCATATGTCGTAGCTGTGGCAATAAGGTGAAATGGCATCTCCCTGACTCTAAATCACTTCTTTTATAGATCATAAGGACCATAGGAATGACTCCTTTCTAGAACTAAAGACCCTCAGAGTGGAAAAAAATGTCCAGAAAACATTAGTGGACACAAAGCGTGAATTGCCGACTCTGTCAAGAATAGAGATCCGATCGGTAACCGGCAATATTTGTCTCCGTTGTGGATGCTGTGTGAAGAGGGTGGGCGTTAGGGCAGATGCAGGTGCACTGGTGTGTTGGTGGTTCAGGGCCAGAGCCTCCCAGAAGGGCAGGTGTCTGCATGGACTGGCTGGTGAGTCCTTGGATGTTGGCACGGAAAGATGGCCTTCCATCTGTGCACAGCACAATGTGTCATTACTTTGACACTGGGCCAAATTGGCCACTGAAGCAAAAAGGGTTTCTCCTCTATTCTAGTTTGTTCTCCATTGCTGTGACAAAATACTCTGACCAATACCAACTTGGGGAGGAAAGGGTTTATTTTATCTTATATCTCCTAAGTCACAGTTCACCACTGAGGGAGCCCAAGGTAGGAACTCAGGGCAGGAACGTGGAAGTGGGCAGAAGCACAGGTCATGGAGGAATGCTGCTTACTGGTTTGCTCCCCCGGCCCATGCTTCCCTAGCCAACACAGGCCCACCTGCCCAGGGGTGACACCACCCACAGTGGGCTGGGTCCTCCCGTATCACTCAACATTCAAGAAGATGCCCCATAGACATGACCACAGGCCAGCAATGAAGGCAGTTCCCCAGCTGAGGCTCCCTCTACTCAGGTGTGTCAAGTTGTCAACTAAAGCTGTCCAGCACACCCTCTTACAATGAAGTGTTACGTTCTGCAGAAAATGCCCAACAGGCTAATTTATATTATACCGTGAGTTTGCTGCTTCCTGCAAACCAAAAGGCATGACCACATAAAATGTAAGCCGGCAGAAAGCTATCACAAACAGGACACAGGTGGAGCTGGAGAGATGGTTCCGCAGTTAAAAGCACTGGCTGCTCTTGCAGAGGACCCAGGTTTGATTCCCAGTACCCATATAACTGTCCATAACTCCAGTTCCAAGGGAACCCAACACCTTCTGACCTCCACAGGCACTGCATGACACAGGTGCACTTACACACGAGCAGGCAATACACCAAAAATAATTTTTTAAAAAAACTTTTTTTTTGTCTTTTTTTGAGACAGGGTCTCCTTGTAGCCCCAGCTGTCCTGGAACTCACTATGTAGACCAGGCTGGCCTCAAACTCACAAAGAGCCACCTGCTTCTGCCTCTCAAGTGCTGGGATTAAAGGCATGCGCCACCACACCCGGCCCGTAAATAAAATATTTTTTAAAAAGAGAGAGTACATGCTGGGCGTGGTGGCTCACGCCTTTAATCCCAGCACTTGGGAGGCAAAGGCAGGCAGATCTCTGTGAGTTCGATGCCAGCCTGGTCTCCATAATGAATCCAGGCCAGCTAGAGCTACAGGGAGACCCTGTCTCAAAAAAACCAAAAGAGAGAGAGAGAGAGAGAGAGAGAGAGAGAGAGAAACACATGTTCTAGGGCCAGAGGGAAAGTGTGAAACTTTAAAGGTCACTGTTTTTATTTTATTTTATTTTTTTATGTGTATGAGTGTATTGCCTGAATGTACGTAAGTGCACCCATGTACAATGCCCGAGGAGGTCAGAAGAGGGTTTTGGAGCCCCTGGAATAGGAGTTACAGGTAGTTGTTTGCTGCCATGTGGGTGCTGGGATTTGAACTCAGGTCCCTTACAAGAGCAGCCAGTGCTCTTAATTGCTGAGCCATCATGCCAGCCCCAAAGGTTACTGTTTTACATGCCAGGATTTTCAGAAGTAATTTAACTGTGACATCGAAGGTGACCCTGTAACCTAAGGGATGTTAGATTGGGCATTTGATGGACACATGACAATGGACAGCTCAGATCCCTGTTAATCACAGGACCCACTGAGTACATGGGTACTGTACATGGTACATGCTGGTTCCACAGCTGAATCAAAAAAATCACATATAGGCTTCTTGAATGAGAAACAAAGCCATCCTATATCTGAACCAATGCCCAACAATTTTTCTTTCTTTTTTTAAATTACATGTGTGTGTGTGTGTGTGTGTGTGTGTGTGTGTGTGTGTGTTGCATGTGTGGAAGAGGACAACTTGTAGTCAGTTCTTTCCACCATGTGGATTCTGGACGTTGAACTCAGGTTGTCAAACTTGGAGACAGTTGTTTTTATCCACTGAGTTATAATCACTGGCTCCTGTCTAACAGTTTTTCTAGGCATTTACTAAAGTTCAGGATGAAGGTCTTTAGAAATGAGCTGGG